CTTTTTATTTATTTATTTATTTATTTTTTTTTTTTGAGACGGAGTTTTGCTCTTGTTACCCAGGCTGGAGTGCAATGGCACGATCTCGGCTCACCGCAACCTCCGCCTCCTGGGTTCAGGCAATTCTCCTGCCTCAGCCTCCTGAGTAGCTGGGATCACAGGCATGCACCACCATGCCCAGCTAATGTTTTGTATTTTTAGTAGAGACGGGGTTTCACCATGTTGACCAGGATGGTCTCGATCTCTTGACCTCGTGATCCACCCGCCTCGGCCTCCCAAAGTGCTGGGATTACAGGCTTGAGCCACCGCGCCCGGCCTGAGGCTGCTCTTTATTAAAGGAAAATTTCACTGAGAACTTTTATACTTTTTAGCTGTCTAGAAAGAATTTCTTAGTAATTCCTATATTATATCCCCCGTGAGGAGACATAACCCTAACTGCTGTTAATGGGTGTTGGATGAGAATTCTTTCTGACTACTTCCTGCTGAAAGGGGACATCATGTTGGGGGGACAGCAGTTGAGACTCCTCCTGAGGTTGTTCTAAGAGCTCTTGAAAGAATGGCATGTTCGAGTGTGCCTCTGTTTGCATCACCATTTGGAGTTTGAGTGCTTCTGGACAAAAAGAGTAAATTTTACAAGGTTTACAATATAGGGTTAGTATATGAGTATTAAGATTACATTTATTAGTGGGGAGTACTGTAGACCTTAACTATGACAATGGAGTTTGACATCTGTTAGTTACCCCAATGAATTGTAATACTGGATTGCCTCCACTAGATGTCACTGTATATTACCAGAAATGTTAATATAAAAGTAACTTTTGCAGGCCTATAGAGAATAATCCTCTGGAAGTAGAAAAGCAACTTCCAGGGGATCCATCTGAGAAGCAAAAAAAAAAAAAAAAATTAAGTTACCTTCTCAGGGTCACACAACTCTTGGCAGAAACTCACACCCTGTACCTTGATCCCTTGAGCCTATGTTCTTTCCTCTTCACCACCATTCCACCTCAGTGGGCTGGGGAAGCCTGGGGTGACACCTGACAAAGATTTTCTCTTCAACCAAACTCTAGCCGGGCCCCTCTGAGCCTTTATGAATGGGCCTGTCAACTGTGGCCTATTAAGACTTGAACAGGCCGGGCGCGGTGGCGCAAGCCTGTAATCCCAGCACTTTGGGAGGCCGAGGCAGGTGGATCACGACGTCAAGAGATCGAGACCATCCTGGTCAACATGGTGAAACCTCGTCTCTACTAAAAATACAA